ATTCAAGGCCTCACAAACAAACCTGGTCAGCTGAAGTTCCCCACTCACCTCCTTTCAGCTCTGGTGAGGACAAAGGGCCTGCTGTAGCACCTGTCTCTTGCCTGGGGGAACCAGTGAGAAGGTGAGAATGCAAAGACAGATCATCCTGGTCTTGAACTGACATGTCACAGGATGGGTGAGACTTTTGGACACATATTTGACCAATACTCTGGATCGGGGGGCGAACACAAAGTAACCTAGCCCCTCGCCAATCAAGACGAAGGCAATTTCATCTTCACTCGCCCCTAGAAAATTTAGACACAGTTGGTTCATCTTGGATCCACCTGTCACTTCCTGACCATTTGACCATCACCCTCACCTCTTATTTCGAAGGCAGGACTCTTTCTATCTGCACCGTTAGAAGCGAGCAGTCACATAAATAACTTGCATAAAAATAAAGTCACTTGCATTTGGCTCTGTGATGCACAGTGTGTTTCAGGAACAGCAGATTGGAGCTTCTCATTTACTTTGGCTGCAATTAATATTAAAACGAGGTGGCAGGGAGCAGGGACGGAGCCTGGCTTTAATGGCAGAGAAAATGAAGAGCAGTTAGCACCTAGAATTTTGCCCTGTGGCTTTGAATGGCTGGCTCAGCTGAAGTGGGACATTAAGGTGCTTGGTAATTCCCCCACAATTGTGACCCCACACTCTAACCCAGGACCGCAGCATCACACTCCTCAGGATGGTTTTCAGATATCCTTGTTCTCCATGTGCCTGGTGCAGCCACCCCAGTTCCAAAAGGTATCCAGGGCTAGAGCGGGACTTGTGAATTTCTAGCCCATTGGTCCAAGTACCCAAGGCTGCAGAAAATCTTCAGCACAAAAGAAAGGGAGAGGTGGGCTATTTTGAGATAATGTGCTGCAATTTATTTTGAAAAGAAAGTTACCTCAATACTTTAGCACTTTATTAATAACAAAACACTTGCAAGGGGCTTCCTCGCTGCTAATGGACCATCACGGAAACACAATGTCAAGATGAAGAAACTGACTTTCAGAGAACAAAGTCCATGTCCTGTTATAGCCCCTGAGCCAGGCACAAGGTAAATGCTTAACTCATGTTGGAGAAATGATAGCCCAAAGACCCAACAGACTGGACTGCATTAGAGTCTCACTTCTTACACTGTCCCCAGAGGGAGGCTAGTGCCCCACCCTTACCCCCTCTTCCGTATATCATCAGCATTAACAACCCACAGTGGAGGCTCTTGGCTCAGGAGTTTGCTGCGCTCACATTCAGAACAGATAAATCCTGAAAATTGCTTGAGACAGCTTCTAACCAATGGCAGATTGGTGCAGGTGTGTGAAAAACCCCAGCCTGGGGAGGGGGTGCGTGGCATCCTTGAGACACCCCTTCAATAGGGTCAGCCTGAAGTTTCAGACTTTTAACAGTGATGAATAATCCTCCAGTTCTTCCACACCACCTGGATGTCCAACGACTCAATTTGGACACTAACTACCCGTGGTTAACACAGACCCCACAGGTGAAGGGCTCATTCCAACAAGACTGCCCCACTTCAAAAGCCAATTGAAAATAACAAATCCACACTGCTGCTACAGGACAGACTACAGGTCGCCCCCTTTCTCAGGTTCTATAACTCACTAGAAAACTCCAAGAACTCAGAACAACACTTTATTTATGAGTGCAGTTAACAATAAAGGATACAAGTGAGGTACATGTCGTGAGGCCCACAGAAGTCCTGGGAGAAGGAGCCTCTGTCCCCTTGGGGTCAGGAAACACCATCCTGTCCTTACAGATGTTTACCAACCAGGAAACTCTCTGACCCTCACTAGAGTTTTCTTTTTTTTTCCTTGATTATATCCTATTTTTTTTCATTTTTATTTTTAATTAATATTTTATTTTATATAATTCTTACATCATTTTTCATTTTTGCACAATGTATGCATTATCATTTTGGTTATATTTCCCATACAATTGCACCCCCCCTTATTTTGACCCTATCCTTTCTCTCCCTTTCCCTCCTCCCCCGCATAGTGTGTCTCTGGTTTGTAGTTGCTTATTGATTTTGATTTTTGCTTTATATTAATTAGTCTTTTTCCTGGTCCCTTATTTAGGTTTTCTAAATTCCTGCTATGAGTGAGACCATCCGGTATTTTTCTTTTTCCTTCTGGATTATTTTGCTGAGCATGATCCCTTCTAGCGCCATCCATGTTGCTGCAAATTGTATGTGTTTATCTTTTTTGATTGCTGAGTAATATTCCATGGTGTATATGTACCACATTCACTTGTAATCAGGGAAATGCAAATCAAAACTACCATGAGATACCATCTTACACCAGTGAGAATGGCACATATTAAAAAAAAACTAGCAACAACAAATGTTGGCGAGGTTGTGGAGAAAAAGGAACTCTCCTGCATTGTTGGTGGGAGTGCAAACTGCTCCAACCACTATGGAGAGCTGTGTGGAGGTTCCTTGACCTATTAAAGATAGAGCTTCCATATGATCCAGCAATTCTACTCCTAGGTATTTACCCAAAGGACACAGAAACATTAATTCCAAAGGACACCTGCATCCCTATGTTTATAGCAGCACTATTTACAATAGCTAAGCTTTGGAAACAACCCAAATGCCTCACTAGAGTTTTTGTCCAAGTTTTGTTACATGGGCACAATTGACCAAATCAGTGGCCACAGATGGTTGAACTCAATTCCCAGCTCCTCCCTGCAGGTGGGGGCAGGGACTGAATGTTTCAACCCTCTAAACAGAGAGTTGATTTTTCTGGTGATCAGTCTTCATCCAGAAGCTGGGTCCTGAAGGGTCCAGGGGCCCTTCAATTAGCTCTGAAGTGGTGAGAGGGACTCATCAAGAATAACAAAACACCCTCCATCACTCAGGAAATTCCCAGGGTTTTAGGAGCTCTATGCCAGGAGCCTGAGGCAAGGACCAAATAGATTTTGTATTCCACCACCCACGAGCAACTCCTAACCAGTTTCTCATAGATGTCCTTCCTTAACAAGCCATCCGCACACAACTCCCTTGCCAGGGATCAAATGCAGAACACTGCACCTAGGATGAAGGGTGAATATGACACTCCTTGATGGCAGTCGCTGCACTGCCCAGGGGCATTCATTCTATTATGTATTCATTCATTTGACAAAGGTGACTGATGTGCCAAGCAGCATACCAGGCCCAGGACAAGGAATAATAACTGTCAGTCATGGTTCCTGCCCTTGCTGGGTTTATAATCTACCTGGAAGGATTGGCCCTGACCAGGTAACTATTCCTATGTTGCTTGGTCATCAAAAGATCAGAGGAGGTTTGTGAGTCATGCAGAGGGTGATTCAAAGTCATTGAAGGCTTTGGGGTGGGGTCAGGACGGTGAGACTTGAGGCCATCAGTGTTTTTTTAAGACAGCCTGCTGGCCTGGTGCATGGACTATGTGGCAGTAGGAATGGATGCAGCATCGAGGAGATTGCTGCAGGAGTTGGGGTCCAGAGGGAAGTGGTTAGGATTAGGGCCTAATGGCCTAGAGTTAGGCAGAGATGGAAAAGAATGAAAAGATCTGTGGGACTTACTAACTTGGAAGATCAGAGCCCCTCAGTGGAAGAAAATCAAACAACCCATGGATATATAACTACATCCTAAGCTAGATGCCTCCAAGGACAGTTGGAGGTCAGAGAGAGGCTGGTGAGCCTCTGGGTCAGGGTTTTGGGAGCAGGCCTGTAGTCCGAGGACCCGAGGTAGGCTCTTTCTCAGTTCTTGTCTTCTGTCAGGAAGGAATTCAGCATTGAGACCAAAGTTACAGGAAAACAAGTGATTTATTGATAGTTTGGAATAAGGACAGGAAAGCTCTCTGAGCAGAGAGGAGTCCTGAGTGGGTAGCCACTGAGGGGACAAGAAGCAGGTGCTTACATAGGTACAGTGGCAAGGAGTGGGGGTTTGGCTATTGGGTGTCTCTGGGCCCTTGGGGTCTCCTGGGCCTCCTAGACCGAGGCCCCCTTATTTTCCCCACAATACCCAGCCTACCTTTCTGAAGCCAGCTTTGGTCCATTACTATTGTATTAGTATGTTGGTGTTCTGAACATTCCATTTTTTAATTGAATTGGGGGTTGCCTTCCTGGTCTTCGATTGTTTCTCAATCAGGCTGATAAATGGACTTGGGGTTTGGGGCACCCCATTCATAACTTACTGCCTATAACCATTACCTACCTTCCACCTTCACCAGGGTTAGAATTGTCAGAAAAAGCTGCCCGGAGAAGGAAGACTTGAACACCTTTGAGGGTTTTGGGATTTTTGGCTTGACCTAAGGGCTTGTCTATATACTCAGGACAGTGTGTCGGGGTTGGGATTCTGACAGGCTGAGGAGCAGGACTTGAGGAAAGCTGTGGTTAAAGTGTGGATACCTTTATGAGAGCAGGAGCGGGCCCTGCTTAGTCAGAGATCATGAGCAGGACTAGACCAGCTCAGAAATCTCCCCCTCTCCCCACCACAAAGTCCTGTGAACTTTCCCCTTGGAAGGTGGGATTCCCTGGCCTGACCGCCTCTTGGAAGTATGTGGCTCTCCAGCCCTGGGTCAGAGGATGTAGGCTCAGAGCTATGGCCGGTGAGAGTGAATTAGGGGCTTAAACCCGATCCTGCCTCCCTTTCACAGCTGGGGAATCAGACAAAGTGGTTTTAATTTTCCATCAATGGGGGAATTTCAAAGCCAGAGGAAGAAAGGTGAAGAAACGTCTCTGTGGAGAGGCTATGAAGGCTGATCTAAAGCTGCCTGTGCCCTGGGGTGCCCTCTCCATGGGACAGAGCATGGACCTCTTTTCCCTGTGAGGCTCAGCTTTTGGAGCACCTCCCGCACATTTTTAGCTCTTGGGTTTCTACAGCCCTTGGGGCTGGATAGTAAACTCACCTTGGAACTGGGCACAGAAGAGAGTTCCACAGCAGTTACTGCCCACTTACCCCAGGTGTCGCTCTGGGGACGGTCTGTATAACTGCCGCGCAAGGGAGGAGTTATAAACCCATGGACAGGTGAGGAAGCGACTGCGCTCTAGAGGATACATTACATGGCCAAGGTCACAGTCAGTAAGTGGAGGCATCACAGATCCACCCACAGCCCCACTCCCAGATCCCACATTCCTTCTCCTCTCCTGTGACCCATTCCCTGCACTCCAGGTGCCTCGTCTCACCCAAGAGAGAAAATTACAGACGCGATCGGTGACTAACACTGAGAAAGTGGCAAAGCTACAAATACTCAAGATGAGACAAGAAAGAGAGTGGTTGACTCTGCCTGGAAAATCACACACTTACTATCATATTTCATTCTCCTGCAACCTATGAAAAGAGAAAACTAACTCCTTTTTATACCAACATTATATAACATGATATCCCACAAATACATCACATCCATGCAAATTGGCATTAGTATTGATATCATGTGACATAATGTTATTTTCAGTTGAATTTCAAATTACTTTTGGGATCCATTCTCAAGTCCATGCTCCTTCCTCTGGCGTATAACTTGTAAAGAGCACCCAGGAGGGATGCTCACTGCCTAGGCAATGTCTCCAAGCCCACCCCACGCCCTGTTAACCACACTTTCCACTTTCCCATGGCCCCAAACTACCCCGCCTGTCTCTGCCTGCCATCTTTCTTCCTGCTGCAGCTCACCATGCGCTCATCCTCACCAGACTTCAACATGCCCCTGATTTTCACCATTCTTTGGGCCCATCGTGGACCCTTCTCAGTTCATTGCATTGTAAGTTCCAAAGAGCATTCAGGTCAAGGTTGATAAAGTTAAGTGCTCTGTTAACACTGCCTGACCTCTAGCCATGCCCTAAGTTTTGCAGCGAGTTTAGAGATGATGTACCAGGGCCATCAGCCACAGATGCTTGAGCCCTGAGGTACCTCCTGCATAGATAACTCAGCTACATCCTCTTTCATCTAAAATTAAGGTTTCTTGTCCTCAGTTGACTTTCTGGTATGTACCAGCCTGCAGGAATGTACGGCACACAAGGCGAAATACTTCCTTTCCAATATACTCAGGTATGACACCTTAGTGACCAAAGAGCAGAGGCAACTTACCATCAACGAGTTGGCCAGTTGTGTTTTCAAATATATTTTTCCCCATGAGATTCAAGTTCCTTTCATTTTGGATGGAGGTATGCAGCCCATGGGCATTTTAAGTTTTCTTGGATTGGTCCTCATTAAAAAAATTAATAAATTGCTCATCCCAATAGTTGGTGTCATAATGACTTCATTTAATTCCTGCCTCTGCTGTTTTCTGAGCTGTGCAAACTCAGGCAAGGTATTTAAACGCCCTGTACAAAATGGGGTTTGAAATCACCAATTCAATGGGCTGTGTGAGGAGTAAATCAGGTTACATGTGACATCCACTGTGATAGTGAATTTTATGTGTAATTTTTGTTGTATTCTGATGTCCAGATGTTTATCAAACATTATTCTGGGTGTTTCTGTGAGATTTTTATATTTTGTTCAGTTGGTTGGTTGGTTGGTTGGTTTGTTGGATGAGATTAACATTTACATCAGTGGACTTTGAGTAAACCAGATTGCTCTATGTGGGTGGGCTTCATCTTATCAGGTGAAGGTCTGAATAGAACAAAGCAAAAACACCAGCCTCCCCCAAAGCAGAAGAGAATTCTCCAGCAAAGGGCCTTTGACCTCACCTGCAACACTCACTCCTCCTTGTTCTACAGGAGATGGCCTTCGCTCTTCTGGGTCTCCAACCTGCCCTCCCACCTACAGATTTGGGATTTGCCAGCCTCCATAATCACATGAGCTGAATGTTATAACAAATCCTGCTCTGGGCCTCCCTGGTAGCACAGGGGTTAAAGACACAGTACTATCAAGCTATCAGTAGCCAATGCAGCCTGAGTTTGTTCCCCAGGCTGGCCAGAAAGCTAACCCACATGGCACAGCAGACCTCTCCTATCTCACCCGCTGCTCTGCTTGGCAGTATATTTCAGTAGATCTGCCTGTTCTGCTCCCCACTCCCTCTGGTGAACGCTGTTACCCCCCATACGTCTGGCTTACACCCCAGTTCTTGTATGCATAGATAAATAAATCTTTAAAAATATATATATCCTGCTCTGATATATACATCCTATCAGTTCTATTTCTCCAGTGAACCCTGGCTAATATACCCACCTAGCTCAATGCCTGGTATATAGCAAACACCTAGCAGGACTTTGCAGCTTACAGATTTTCAAGTCCCCACCTCTAGCTTTATCTGGAGATTGGACGGATTTCAGTTAAGCTTAACTGGCAAACTCAAAGATAAATGATAAATCAGGAAGCTTATAACTGGCAAGTCGAATCAAAATTGTCAAGTCTAAATTCCTATTCAATTGAGTATGACCAGTAGTTATTTTGCAAGCCTTTACATTATCAAAAGCACACAAACTGTATGGCTTAGCAAAATATTATAATGTAAGCACATGTGTAATCATCTTCAGGTCAAAATGTGGAACATTGTCAGTGCCTCTAGAAGCTCCCAAATCTGTCCCTGTGACTGACATAGTTAGTCTCTTTTTCAAGTTTCTTGTGCCCCCGCCCTTCACAAGGCATAACTATTCTTCTGTGTTTGATTTCCTTTCATTCAACAACTGTGTTGTGAGAGTCATCTATATTTTTATGTGCAGCTGTAGTTCATTCATTTTTCTTGTTGGTTACTGCTCTATGACTCAACCACACTTTATTTAGCCATTCTACTGTTAATAAACTTTCAGCATGGAAAAGAACATTTGGTTGCAACTCAGCTGTGGTCACTCCTAAGTTGACATTAATGAGGATGTTGAAAGGTTAGAAATGCATTGGGAAATATTGGTACAAAATAAAAAAAAATGATAAACTTGGATCTATCAACTAATGGATCCATGAATGTGAAATACTTGTGTTGAGATGAACAGGTAGAAAACTAAGCCCAAAATGTAAAAAATTAAGGACTGCTTCTTATGAAGTAAGCTGTAAATGAAGAAACACAAAACCAATAATAAGGTCCAATAAAGAGCAATTTAGAAGCTAATGCATTTATTCTGTAGCTCATATAAAATTAGGTCACCGTTTTTTTGTTTTTTTTTTTAAAGATTTATTTATTTATGCATACAAGAACTGGGGTGTAGGCCAGAGTTGGGGGGTGATGGTGGTGAGAGGATTCACCAAAGACAGAGTAGGGAGCAGAAAAGGCAGATCTACTGAATTACACTGCTGAAGGAGTCATGGGTAAGACAGAAGAGGTCTGGAAATCATGTGGGTCAGTTCCCTGACTGGGGATGGAACTCATGCTGCAGTGGCTGGTGATAGCTTGACAGTGCTGAGGCTTTAACCCCTGCACCGCCAGGGAAGCCCTAACCCACAATTTTGATATGCCAGGCCCATCATGGCTGAGCATTCGTGAAGGGAGCGCTTTGAGAGAGGGGCACCCATGGGAGCAGAGTTATGTATAAGGAAATCACTCACCATTCATGGTTACACTAAGCACCACAGCTCCTCAGAGCAAGCCCTGCCATCATGTAAGTGGCAGAAAAAATGGCAAGGATGAAGGTCGATGCTGGGATTCACATTTGTGACCAGTTCCCCTCCCTGCTACAGAAGAGCCAGCAACATTTGTCCCAAATCAGCAGGCAGTGTTTGAGGTTTCCTTGAGCTTAAGGTCAAGGCTAGCACAGGCATTTCTCATCACCACCTCTTGCAAACCTGCTCCATGACTCAGATAAGTAAAAATCCCCTTCTTAGATTTTTTTATTTAATAATTAACACTATTTTCTGCTACGTTCTTCCAATAGATATGTACTGAGTTTCTGGGGCTTTGTGCTCTAAGTAAGGTTTGGTATGATAGCCTGGCAAGGCTGTTTTTAAATTAGGACTTGAGGTTTCAGAATTTCAACAGTGTCTGTTGGGAGGAGACTGGGAGGTTGTTTCTACATCACACTAGAGAAAAGGGCACCAGTATTTTGTGAGCAATTGCTCAGTGCCCAGCCCATGTGTGAGACACCTCATTTCATCTTCATACCCTGCCATCCCTAATTTTTTCTCTGCATTTCCCCATCTTGTAGAGCAAGACCTAGAGAAGTTATATACTTGCTTACAGTCATTAAGCTCATGTAACTACTGAGTAATCACTGGGCACTGGACTCTGAACTCACACTTGCTTGGGGGATGATCCACTTTCATCGCTTACTAGCTGTGGGTCTTGGCAAATCATTGAATTCTTCATGGGATGGGGATAATCGTGGTACCCTCTCCGTGAGTCTCTAAGTGTAATTAAGGTACTGAGGACAAAGCCTGGTCCCAGCGAGCACTTTCTACAAGTAAACAGCTCTGGTTAAAGAGCAAAGCCAGGATTCCAACCAAATTGGAAACTGGCTCCAAGTGCCCTAAAACAGCAACAACCATTTATTTGCTCAGAATGTTGCAATTTGGACAGGGCTCAGCAGGGAAGGCTTGTCTCTGCTCTACCTGGTGTCAGCTGGGGCTAGAGGATCCAAGCTGACTTCCCAGCTAAATGGTCTGTGTCCTGGCCCTGCCCTGACCCCTCTCATCTCTTAGCCGCCAGGATCCCTCTTTCTCTCTCCACAGGGCTTCTTCCTCTCCAGCAGGGTAGTCAGGGGTTAGTGGTTTCTCATGGCTCTATGACTTAAGAAGTTCTCTTAAGGCCCTAAGCCTGGATTGTCACAGGATTGCTTCCACTGAATTCTAGGTCAAAACAAGTCATGATGCCACGTGGGTTCCTAGGGAATGGCAAATAGACCACAGCTTCTGATGGGTGGAGTGGCATACGCATGCAGGAATGAGACGGCCTGTTGGTGGCCATCTTTGCAGACAATCTACCACACAGGCTAAGCTTTAGACAGTGCATGCCTGAAATGGCTAGATATCACAAAAGGAAATATTTTGGAGGCACTGAGAGGAATGGGTACAATGAAGGAAGCCCAGAAAGGGAGCAAGGCATTCTGGCAGAGAGAAGAATTTGAGTAAAAACTCAAAGCAAAGTCCCGTGAGGTAGCTTGGGA